AAAAAAAAAAAAAAGGATGGATAATAGATATCAAGGAGACAGAGCCTGGTGTGGTGGCGCACGCCCATAATCCCAGCACTCAGGAGGCTGAGGCAGAAGGGCCATTTGTGTTTGAGACCAGCCTGGGCTACAAAGTGAGCTCAAGGCCAGCCTGAACTGCCTAGCAAAACCCTATCTCAAAAAGACAAAAAAAAAAAAGAGAAATCAGGGAGACAGGTCTTTCACAAATGGGAAAGGGATCCAGAGATAAAGGGGGAGGAGAGAAAGGGAAGGGGAAGTAAAGAGAATTAAGAAGTGTTCTGTACATATACCAACTCTCCACAATGAACATGTACTATAAATATGTACTAATAAAAGATTAATACGAAAGTTCTTATATACTCTGTGTTAATCCTTTGTCACACTCGTAGCTGGTGAAGGTTTTTCTGCCATTCTGCAGGCTGTCTTTGCTATTAGTGGTTTCCCTTGCTGTGAAGAATGTTTTAAATTTGGTGCAGCCCCATGTAGCTCCTATCATTTCCTTTTCTAGTAGAGTTCTCTTCAGGGAGCTGCCTATGTCTATTGGCTCCAAGTTCCCCTGTTTTCTCTCCGCAGTTTTAAAGTCTCAGGTCTTCACTTGATCTTAGCCAAAAGGCCGAGAAGCGATAAAAGTCTCAGGTCTTATTAACAGATCTCTAGGCCACTGTGAAGTAACTTTTGTCCAGGGTGAGAGGGATCTAATTACAGTCTTCTACAAGCAGATATCCAGTTTCCCAGCAACATTCATTAAGAGGCTTTTTTCCAACGTGTATTTTTGGCTCCTTTGTCTAGAAGCAGATGGCTGTATTTGTGTGGCTTGTTCCTGTGTCCTCTCTTCTACTGGTCTATGTGTCTGTGTGCCAGTATTATGCTGGTTTTGTTACTATGGCTTTGCAGTCTAATTTGAAATCAGGTGTCGTAATGCCTCCAGCCTGCTCTTTTTGCTTAGGATTACTTTGGCTTGGACATTTGAGCCTATAAAATCCCTCTATTCACAAAGTTTAATCTTTTTTTTGGTACTGGGACTCAAACTCATGACCTCAGGCTTGCCAGGCAAGCACTTATGCCACTGAGCTATATCCCCAGCTCTATTCACGAAGTTTAAAAGGTACAGTGTAGCTGTCCTAAAGGGTATACAGTACTTCCTGTATTATCTTTATTTTCCAAGTTTTGAAAGATTCAAATAATTTCCGAAAAAAAAACTTCAGATGTTAGGTTCAGGGTATGCGTATGTGGCATGTGTATGTGTTACATGTATGTGTGGTTTTTGTTTTTTTTTGAGACAGGGTCTTGCTATGTAGTTCAAACTCCTTGAGCTTGTGATCTTCCTGCCTAAGTCTCCCAAGTGCTGGGGTTACAGATGTGCACATCTGGCTTGTGTGCCTGCATCTAAGAGGGAATGTGGATGCTTGCACGTACACAGCAATTAACTTCAGTCACCTTTCCTTTAATGGTTTTGCTTTTTGTCTTAATGTTTTTTTTTCTTTTTTTTAAATAGGATCTGGCTATGTAGTTTGGGCTGGTGTCCAACTTGTGACGATCCTGCTGTCCCACGTGCTGGGATTACATGCGTGTGCCACGAGGCCCAACTGTGTTTTCTACTTTTTAATGCTCATTTAAAATAAAATGCATCTACCAGAAGAAGGCTTTCAAATAAAATCCAAACATCACTGTGAAAAGTCTAGTTCCTTCCAATCATGGACCACTAATCTCTCCTCAAACTATTCTTCCCTTCACTGGACCAGAACCATACGAACCTGCCCTTTCGCTGCTGTTGTGTGGTACTGGGGACTGCAGCCAGGGTCTTCACACCGAGCTACATCCCCAGGCCTTTATTTTATTTTCGGACAAGGTCTGGCTAAGTTACTAAGTTCCCCAGGCTGGGCTCAAGACTTGCAATCCTCCTGCCTCAGCCTCCCAGAGACCTGGGAATATATGCAGCACCAACGTGCCCTGCTTAACCTGCTTCTGGGGAAACCTCTTGCATTAGACCTTGCCCTAATGCTCCTGCTACTTAGGAGAAAATGTATGCTCCAGGGATATAGCTCAGTGGCACAGCGCCTACCTGGGAAGAAAATGCACGCTCCTTCTCTTTCTTTAGGCGGCAACTTAGATGTCACTGCTTGAAAAAAACCACCTAGGACTAATGTATGTCAACCTTAGGTCCCCTGTACCACGTATATGTTATTTTCTATCATGGTAACCTGCTTTTCCCCATTTTCATTAGTCTTTAAAATTCGATGGAAGCACGTATCTCATCTGTTTTATTCACTGAGTGTGCCATGGCCCATACAACGCTGCCACAAACACACTCTGTATGAAGCTGCATGAGACGTAAAGGGAAGCCACCCAGGGAATTTACAATCCTTATTTCTATGTCCTTATGTATTTTCTAAACCATATTTGACACTGAAAAATGTAAAGAGGAACAAAAATATCTTACCTCCTGCCACGACGAAGTGGCTCAGGGCATTTTTATTCCGGTACACAGTTAGTCCAGTGTTCACTGAGCTGAGCATTGGGGAGGAAAAGGAAAATATACAATTCAGAATGTATTCCACATCCATTCCTGACTGTTATTTCCACTGAGATGCCAGGTTTAGAGAATCTGCACTAGTAATCCCTGTCCTAATCCAGGCCCCTTCCCTGGGTTCGAGATCGCTAAAGTGCAGGAGGGCTTCGGAGGTAGCCTTTCCGCTAAAGAGGAACCAAAGAACAATCACATCTCTGGAAGAAGTATTTACTTAGAAACACAGAGAAAGGTTCTGCAGGATTTCTTTTAGTTAGAACTCACCCTTCCATCTATGTTGATCCTAGCTGACAGATCTCTATCCTGTATGAAAAACTACAAGCCTCTTACACAGATAGACAAAAGTTCCCGAGAAAAAGGCATTTTAGCTGGTCACAGGAGTGCACACCTGTCATCCCAGCACTCGGGAGGCCGAGGCTAGAGGATCTGAGCTTAAGACCAGCCTATACTACACAGTAAGATGCTGTCTCAACAAACAAATATACCCCTGCAAAAAAAATAAATAAATAAATAAATAAATAAAAAGAAAGAAACAGGCATTATGAATCACTTTCCTGTGAGTATTGTTTTTATAATCCCACTGGCTCGGCTGCGTGTGGTGGTCCATGCCTGTAATCTCAGCACTCTGGGAGGCTAAGGCAGAAGGACTGCAAATTCAAGCCCATAAGTGACAGAGTAAGACCTTGTCTCAAAAGACAAAAAGGGCTGGGGATGCAGCTTAGTGTGAAGGCCCTGGGATCGATGCCCAGTACCACCACAAAACAAGACAAGACAAGACGTCCCACCTGCTCAACAGATGTACTCCTAAAAGACAATCAAGACCCTGTGTCACAATTCAAAGAGAACTTACTTAAATATAGTCACAAATACCGCAGTTCTCCAACCCCAGCGCCAGCCGTACCGGAGGAAGCCTCGAGTGGCAGCTCGGTGCGCACGTTGCTGGAGGGAAGAAAAACGCTGTGAGGTTCCGGGACAGCCTGACGCGCCCCTTATTACAGAACTGCATGCAGCACTGTCTGCTAGAAATTAGTCAGGGACACTGACGCAGAAAAGAACAGAAAATCTCTAGAAAGGCCTTTCTATAAGTATTGAGGTTTAGGTAAAAGTCTCATGCACATCCTGTTTTATCAGGAGATGGGAAAGGAACTAAGAACTGCCAAGTAATCCAGCAATTATCGAAGGAGAATCTATGCAGCAACCGCTGTGACACATATGAAACCGCTTTAGACATGTTCTTCCTATTCAACAGGTACTAGGGAACAGCCAGAGAACACCTACTGAGTAAATGCTAAATAAAAGGGCAAAGATTAAAGTAACACAGATGTGCAGGACGGAGAAAGAAAAAAGAAATACTTACCGACCACCTTTTATGTTTAAAGTGTTTATATACAGTGCCTCATTTACTTCTTACAACACTGCTTTCAGGAAAGTCTTACAGTTTTCACTAAAGCTTAGGAGAAAGTTTATCACCAACGTCACCCAGAGAGTGAGGAATAAAGTCAGAATCGGAAGAGACGCTGCGTCTTCCGTGCCTGTCTTCGCTGACCCATCACAGAGCAGGTCTGGTACAAGATCAGAAAGTAAAGTCTGAATTTGTAAAGATATGAGAGAAACCCTGTGTGTACCTTAACTACTACATGACCTTGGACAAGTCAGAACTGCTCTGAGGTATCTGTGCGCATTCACAGCTTGTAATAGACAGACACCGATACAGATGTGTGTGAATTATATGTAAGTTGCATACACACACACACACACACACACACACACACACACATTCTGTCTGCCTAGCATCTAGAAACTAACATTCTGGTAGAAATGTGCACACATAAGACTCAGATTTTGGCTTCTAAATACCAGTATCCACTGAAAAAAAGCTGAGGTGTTTGGAGAAACGGTTAATTCCAGGACTGGCACAGGAAGAGCAAAAGCCAACCCCAGAACATGTTACTGTGCCGGAAGTAATGGCATGGTCAGAGGATGAAGAAGACGTGTCTCAGGGACACAGGCGCTAGTCTGAAACGGCTCTGCCGGTCCAAATCCAGGCCCATTTGAGTATGAAAATAAATGACAATGGATTACAGGCCTATGGAATGAAACAAGAACCCTAAGTACATACTAATGTAAGTAAATCATAAACAGTTATGCGCTACATAGAAAGGCTTCAAATACCAAGCCACATGTGGTGGTGCACCCCTGTAATCCCAGCACTATGACAGGCTGAGGCAGAAAGATCATAAATTCCAGCCCAACCTGGGCACAACCTAGTGACACTGTCTCAAAATAAAAAATACAAGCCGGGCATGATGGCACACACCTGTAATCCCAGCACATGGGAGGCTGAGGCAGGAGGATCATTGCGAGTTTGAGGCTAGCCTGAGCTACAAAGTGAGCTCCAGGCCAGCCTAAAATGCATAGCGGGACCCTATCTCAAAAAGACAAAACAAACAAACAAACAAACAAACAAAAGGAGGCTGGAAATGTAGCCCAGTATCCCCCAATCATAACACACACACAAGACAAAAAAGGCCTAACTCATGAAGTATATTCTGTGATATTCACACAAGGACAACACTATCTAACAATACAGTCCTCAGAATGATCTCTATTGCTGATGCAGAACTGTAAATAGATGGATACACAGGTAAATGCGGGGGTGCGGGAAGAACACTTTCTCAGAGGTGAACACTAACCAAAAGTGGAGGAAGAATGACAGAACTAAAAAACGGCCATTTGGCAACCACCACAATAATAACGATTTCAAGCCAGAGTCATTTTTTGCTGAAATTTGATGAAAAACAGGATACCTGTATAATTTCAAAGGATCTAATAAGAACCCATAAAATACTTACCATTATAAAGGGAAAAAGTGATAATTTGATGGGGGATATACCTGGCAGACATCATCTTAGCTAAGTGGCTAAAGTAAACATCAGCAATAAAGTGACAGGTATATGGTACATGACTCTGATGCAATGTACTAGGAAGGATACAATATCAATTCTAGGACATACCTGCCAAAAGACATAGCCTGAATCTTGTAAGAAATCATCCCCAAATCATAATCAAAACTGTCAAGCTCAGCAAAGACAAAGACAGAGAAACTGTTCCAGACTACAGAGGTCTGAGAGGCCAATTCAACACGTCATTTATTGTTAGACCCTAGGCCAGAAAAAGAAATGTGTTTAATGTAAAGTAAGTGAGTTAAGTGGAAGAACTAGTGCATTTACATAAGGTCTGCAGGTAATGGTACTATGCCAGAGTTAAGTTTTTGTTCTTTAGCCATAACGGTGAGCTCACACATGCCTGCTTTGAAGATAATTGTCTGACGAGCTACGCTTAGGCATGTCAGCATGACTATTTCCACTGTTATTTAACATAGACTTGGACTTTCTACAATTCTCTCAAACCACAACTGATTATGACTGATTATGTGTAACTGCAGAGACAGTGTGTGCCTTCATAACACTCTTAGGTCATTAGTACTTACCACAGCGTCAAACCGGTTATGATAAATCTCTGCTTGGCTCTGCTCTATGTAGCGCTGCTTAGCATGAATGAAGGCTGGGATTCCCCCATACGCCCAGCCAATGATGCCAGCGGAAGCTGCCGCCTTACAGATGTTCTCAAGCTCCTCTGAAACTCTCTGTTGCTCACTAAAACAGCAAAAACACCACGTCGTTGGGAGATTATCCAAAAGCACTATGATCAGAATTATCCCAAATGCTAATACTACATTCTACCTTATGGGGAGAACTAACGAAATCTCTTCAATAAACTAAACAGCGCTGTTAGAGTAAAAGTAGTACAAATCTCAGGCAAAACGTATCCAAAAGCAGGACAGTGGTTCTCCTCAGGAGGGAATTATGAATAGGGGGGCAAGGGGTCTTTTTTGCGGGGGGAACGAGGAATCGAACTCAGCATCTTGCGCTTGCCAGGAAGGCACTGTGCTGCTGAGCTATATTCCCAGCCCCAAAAGGGGCTTTTGTAATGCTGGGTGCTAACAATTTCTGGAGCTGGTTACACAGCTATGTTCAGTTTGTGAAAATTCCTAAGTAAGCAAAAAAAAATTCATTAGTAAGCATACTTATGTACATTTCCCTAGATGCATGTTATATTCGGTTTTGTTTGTTTGTTTTAGGTACTTTTAGTCAGGTGTGGTGGCACACACCCGTATTGCCAGCACTCTGGAAGGCTGAAGCAGGAGGATCGAAAGTCCAAGCCCAGCCTGGGTAACAGGGCCACCCTGTCTCAAAATTTGAGGAAAAAAAAAAGGCCTAGGATGCAGCTCAGTACAAAAGCCCTATATTCAATTCTCGGTACTATTTATGCAAATAAATAAATACACTTTTATTTTGAAGACTATTACAGTATCTTGTAACCCAAGAAGCAGAAAGAATCTGTGGGCTGAATGAAGAAATCAAATTCTCTTTTTAAATGTCAACCCACAGAAATTATACAAACTCATAAGAGGTTAACACAATGTATGGAAGAATGAAAATACGGATGTATAAAACGTCAACACCATATTTACTAATAATCACTTTGAAAGCCCGTTATGCAGTGAGCAATACAGGCCAATCAAACATAAGGAAAAACTACCATTTGAGTCAATTTATCACTTTCAAATGCGTAAGAAACAAGAACTGTTGCCAGGCGTGGTGGTGCATGCCTATAATCCCAGCACTCAGAAGGCTGAGGCAGGAGAATCCCCTGGAGTTCAAGGGCAGCCTGGACTACATGGTAAGACCCTGTCTCAAAAAGCCAAAAAAAAGAGAGAAACTAGAACTTTTAATTGAGCTTCCAAGATATTCTCCTGCAACTGTTCTAACATACAACTAACTTTGTAACTTACCGATTGATTGATTTGCAGTACTTCCTGGGATTGGACCCAGGAAGCACTAAACTATATTCCTAGCCTATTCTACTTTGAGATATCTAATCTGCCCAGGATGGCCTCAAATTTGTGACCCTCTTGCTCTGCCTCCCTTGCAGCTAGGATTACAAGTGTGTGCCATCATCCTGGGATTACAGGTGTGGGCCACCATGCTCGGCAAGGTTTCTAAATATTAATGGCTCTGCTAAATAAGTAAACTACTAAATGTTATCTAACTTGCTTTCTTCAGAGACTGTACAAGTACTTAACTAATTTTACTTGTCAATAACCACAATATTTGAGATATTAGAATGACTAGGTTCTATGCTTTTGTTTTGTGGTGCTGGGACTGTATTTAGGGCACTGCACATGCTAGGAAAGCATTCTACCTCTGAGTACATCTCCAGTGCCAGGGAGCCTTTTGGTTCCTACATCTACAGAGAAAAACTTACATAAAACCTCTTAGAAAATTGTCTTATATTTAGGTCAGTGAGAAAACTATCACTGGGTATGGTGACACACACCTGGAATGCCAGCACTTGGGAGGCTGAGGCAGGAGGATCACTGGGAGTTAAAGGCCAGCCTGGGATACACAGAGAGTTCAAGGTCAGCCTGGGCTATATAGTGAGACCCTGCCTCAAAAAAACAAACAAACAAACAAACAAAAAAGCCATAATCGAAACTTTACATTTTATCTTTTACAGTGACTAAGATTTATACAAAAGCTGTTATATATCAAAACTTAGAAAAGAAAAAAATGTAAGAGTGTAACAAGCCAGGAGATACACATGCATTGCCTTTTTAACCTCTAAAAACTTCTATGACAGGGGTAATATTTATCTACATCTTTTTTACTTTGGTTTTTGTTTTTTGAGGCAGGATCTCACTATGTAGTTAGGCTGGCCTTGAACTCCAGGGGATCCTTCTGCCTCAGCCTTCTGAGTGATGAAAGTACAGTAGGCGTGTGCCACCTTGCCTGGCCCTCTATTTTATTGATGTGAGGACACAGGCTCTAAAAAGTTACACAGTTGGTCCAAAACACTAATGAATGGTACAGAAAACAACAGGGCACAGTAATAGAGTGGACCTAGATTTCAGTGACTGGGTTGTGACCCTGGTTCTGTCTCCTACTGCCAATCACCCACAGCCAGGTCACAATCTCACAGAACCTTGGTCTCCTCAGCTCACCAGAGAGGGCAGTGCGAAAGTTACATTAAATTATCTTTCAAATTTCTTTCAGCTCAAGTAGTCTGTGGTTTATAAAGGCGATGGAACAACCCTCTTTTGTTATTCTACGTTACAAAAGGTGTTTCACGAATTCACCCCCAATTCCACGGACCTGAGAAATCCGCCTCAGGATCTTTTTGTGAGTCGTAGTGGTGATGCTGGGAATCCAAAACAGGGATGTTTCAGTGCTCAGCAAAACCCCCAGCCCTTTCTACTTTTTGAGGCAGGGTCTCACTAAGATAAGAATTGGGAATTCTGGAATTTGGGGATTCTCCTGCCTCTGCCTCTTGAGGAGCTGGGATTACAGGCATGAGCCACTGCTTCATTAGCTTTAAAACAAAGACAATGAAACCTAAGTAAAAAATAATTAAACACAAGCCTGCCAGCTCCCTGCAGCTGCGGATACTGCACCAGTATCTATGGTTAAGCCTAGGATGTCATGAATCGTTAGTTCCCACACCAGGGAGACAATATGGGAGGGACCTGGAGTCAGCGGTGTCTGCCCAGAACAGAAAGCACCCGCTTGGAAAGGTCCTCTTCCTCAGTTCCTCTTCCTCCGGCCTGTTCCTGCTACCATCCCACGCTCTTCCATAAATCTGACTACTTCCTACGAGATGTACGCTTGGCGGTTCTTTCCTTGCTGGGCACAAGAACCTGGCCTATCATGGCGCACTCAGCTGTAACAACTTGACACCAGGGTACTACAGTAAATTAATATATGAAAAGGCAAACTCTTCCGAGTTTTTACTAAATAAAGCTGATTCATTTGAAAGGATTCTTATTTATTCTGAGGATCTTTTAAATTCTAACTTCCTTCTATAAAATGAGAAACAGGACTGTAGCTCTGTTAGAATGCTTTGCCTAGCATGCACGACATCCTGAGTTTGCTCTCAACACCGAAAAAAAAAAATTAGACAACAGCTGCTGTTATTTGTAAGTCCTTATTGGGCATAATTAAAAATTGCTAACTATGTCTGCCTTCCTCAGTCTTCGTTCTGGTAGGTAGAAAATGCCTCCACACAAAACAGCGAAGTTTGGGATCGACCTGAAAAACCAAATGCACTGTCGTGGATTTCTACAGACACAGGTTTCAGGGGTCTCTGCGTGACAACTACCAGCTTGGGCCAACTTTTCTCATCTGTAAAACGCGGGCACAGGTTTCCCTAAGATTATTCCCTAAGCATCCCCAAGAGCTCTGCTTTGCAGAGTCTTACTTTCACCATTCAAAAACCTGCCTGTCAATCAACTACCAAACCGCAATGTCAAGATACAAGGTGGGGCGCTACCATCATAGGCTCAAACTAGTTCAAAAGTCAGCCACACCCCGCGGGCCCCGCGCGCTGCCCTCCCGCAGACCCCGGGCGCTTTTACTCTCGGACAAACAGCTCCCGGAGGCGGTCCCACCCGGACTCCATAGGACGGGGCTCTGGGATGTAGAAAGGCGGCTTCTGCGGCTTCCCGTCGGCTTCCGCATCCGCAGCCACAGCTCCGGCGGCAAAGACCCGGGGGAAAGCAGCCCGCGTCCCGAGGAGGCGGCTGAGCGGCGCCGGCGGCGGCCCCTCCATGGCTTCGTCCCGAAATGGACAGACACGCGAGGGCGCCTGAGGAGAGTGGAGAGCATACGAGTGAGTGAGCACACGCGCAGAAAGGCCGCTAATCTGCTGATCGGTCCGCCGCCATAGCGACAGACGTCCTTACTAGCCGCACTGTGTCGCCTCGGACACAAGGCCGGAAGTCCCGCCCCAGTTAGGGCAAAAGCGAAAGGGCGGGGCGACCGGTGAGACCACAGAAAGCACTTCCGGTTAGGGCCAGACCCGACCCCGGAAGTGAGTCGCAGGTCGCATCTTCCTCCGCTGTTTTCTGGGTCCCCGGCCCCCAAGGAAACCGGGTCTGGGCGGATTGCCCTCTGCTTGGTTTGGTCACAGTGACAAGTAAATTTGTGTACCGAAGATGCTGGAAATTCCACGTGGAAAAAGAGAGTGCAGTATTTGATGCAAATGTTGTATGGAAAGAATTTGCGCAGAAACCAGCTCAACCAGCCCCCTGGGCTGGGAAGGGGCCCAAAATTTGGAAAACGCTTTTGTGATCAGCTTTGGTCATTCTTCACAAAATGGAATTTACTCTTACTTCATATGCCTACTGTTTCTCAGAAGGAGAATATCTATGTAGTATTTGGTAGCTTAGCAATAACCTGTCACTACTGAGTAAACCTTCCGCTAAGCAGTGCTTCGAGGTGTAGTTTTCATTAAAACGCACACATTCACAGTTTTTTCAACTGGTTTGTGTAACTTAATCCACATTTCTTATTCTCTTGGCTAATCCTTTCACCTTTATTCCTATTTGTTATAATTTCGAATGATGACTCTTTAATAAGAATACAGTGCACAATTCTGGGACTTGATGGCTGGATATTCCACAGATAAAAGCCCAGAGCATTGCCTGACTAGAGTATCTATCATAACACTTACTATTTTGCAGCATAATTTACTGCTCAATGATTTGCCAGGTTAGAAGCCATATATATTTGTCTGTATCTGCAGGACCTACCAGGATCTAACACGGAGCAAGTGTTCACTAAATACTTGAATTGTCAGGTGTGGTGTAGTACACCTGTAATCCCAGCATTCTGAGTGGCTGAGTCAGGAGAATCACAAGTCTGGGCCCAGCCCCGCAACTTAGCAACTTAGGCCCTGTCCTAAAAATTTGTAAATGGATGGTGGGGGACTGGGGATGTAGTTCAGTGCAAAAGCTCTAGATTCAATCTTCAGTACTACTGAAAAATAAAAATTGTTTTAAGAATTCAGAATATCCCCTCTGGTTTGCTCACTATCCAATATTAGGTAGAAGGGGGCACCAGGACAAGATCCCAGGGGTGGAAAGCTCAAGAATGCCTGTCTGGCCAAAAGGAAGAAAAAGCTAAGTGCTTAAAATGCTTAAGAGGACCTTAGAATGATTCTGGGATAAGGGAGGACTTACCATCGGGTAGGATGGAGATTAGGCAGATACTGTGAAATTATTTACATACAGTTCATATATCCCCAGGACTCTCTAGCCTTAGACACAAGTATCTTCATATTAACAGGCAAATTTCACTAAGTCTATAGCTGCTTTCTCCTTTGGGTTAATGGAGACTCACTTATAATCCCAAGAAACTCCCCTGCTTATAGAACTGAAGACCTGCTTCTTTCATAGTGAATTTTCTCTGAGGGACAGCAGGTTCCCTCTCTGGCAAGTTCATCCCGTACAGTCCTTGCTACATATACAGAATTACATGTGGTTGTATTATATGCAACAGAAACCTTTCCCATTAGTAGTATGAATTTTTGAGGAAGAAAGGTGATGTGGTTTGTGTCTGGAAGTCCCCCCAAAGCCTCATACAGTCATAGGGCAGGCTTCTGGAGTTTATGATAGATTCATGGTCCAGTGTTGGAATTATGGGTGTGAGTGCTACACTCGCCCTTGGGCAGGTAGTTTGCATACAGTGTAAGGGAGGGAAAGAGGCTGCATGCTGCCACTCCTCCCTGTTTTGCTCTTGTTACTTTTGCTGTTCTGTGCCACCATGAACGGTTGCCCTGTGCTATGTGCCACTCTGCCTTGGAGCCAGACAAGTATAGACTGAAACCTCCACAAACTGTGAGCTGAATAAACTTTTCCTTCCTTAATTTTGGGCATCAGGTATTTTGTCTCAGCAACGAGAGAAAAGTAACTAAGAATTGTAAGTTTAGGATTAAGCAAGTATTAATAATGACAAAACCCTTCAAAAGTTGTACAGATACAAATTATTTTCAAAAATATACACTTTACATATTACATACCAATAGCATCTACACTGAGGTAAACAGATAAATATATAATCTGAGCAACTTCTGCTGTATTTAAAGACAAAGATTCTTGATTGACTCTTTGAACAGCAAGTGAGGATTTGTACAATCATGATTATCCAATTCCCCATTGGAGCCAATGGCAATTAAATCTACAGAGTATCCTGTTAAGCCAACTCTTCATCCATCCGTCCGTCCATCCATCCCAATTCATCCATCCAATAGGTGTTTAGTATTTACTCTGCATGAGGCACTATGTTGGATAATGAAGACATCAAGATGAGTAAGTAATGATTCCCATCTATTGCTAAGCTCATGGGATAGGAGAAATCGTCAAATAACTACAATGCACTATCATAAAATACTGGCACAAGTTAAGTATTGTTGTAGCCCCTAACCAACTAGAATGAAAGAAAAGATTCAGACACAAGATGATGTTTAATCTGCAACCTGAAACAAAATGGGAAACATTCCCAGGGAAATGAAGCTTCAGCTCCAGCTCCTTTTAGTGAAAGGAAAATTAAAATATGGAGAAAAGGATTATACCTCATGGTGCCTTACACTGCCAAGGCAAAACCATAGCATAACTGAGAAAACTGGACTGCCTTTCACAACACTTACTGTACCCAAGGATATGATCCATGTAAACTGTTAGTACTCAAGCAGAAAAATCAACTTTAAATATCTGCCATATTGTATGCAGTTACCTGATTGGTGATGTTCAGTATCTCGAAAGTCTAGCCCACATAAAAAAAGCCAAATACGTCTCTGACAAACACAACAAAATCTGATTTCACGTGACTGAGTCTTACAGTTACCAGTTTTGAAACCTGTTGACACTGAACAATTCTCAAGAGTCAAAGGAAAAGAGTCGATTTTTCTGTAGAAATGTCAAACCTAAAGGACAAAAATGGTTCTAAGTCAACGAAATAGTTTAAATCTAACATGTTTCTTCATTTTTTACTGTTAGAATACCAGACAGTGAAAACTACTATCCAAATGTCGTTTTCAGAAAAGGTGGGAAAAGGAAAAAGAAAGGAACACAACAACTAAGACAAATATATACAAATAAATGTAAAGGCTGAAAGCTCTAAGTTACCAACTTAATGATGTGTTCACACATGAAGACTAGCCTTGGTTTCGGTTTTTTGTTTTTTTTGTTGGTACCGGGAGTTGAACTCAGGACCTTGCACTTGCCAGGCAGGCTGAGCTATATCACCAACTCTGAAGACTAGCCTAGGGATCCCTCCACTACACTGAGAGACAGCCCTGTTTCTGCCAATACGAAAAAATATTAAGCCGGGCGTGGTGGCACACGCCTATAATCCCAGCACTTGGGAGGGTGAGGCAGGAGGATCGTTGCGAGTTCCAGACCAGCCTGCACTACAAAGTGAGCTCAAGGCCAGCCTGAACTGCATAACGAGACCCCGCCTCAAAAAGACAAAACAAAACAAAAAATTAAGATGTGCAAAGAGTGAGGAAGTGTTGGTCTTTTAAGAATTCTCCTAAAGCTTCAAGACCACTTCCTACATTTACTAACAAGTTTTTTTTCTCTCTCTTTTTTTTGTCCTTCAGAGAGACAATAAAAAGGGCGTGAAGGCACAGAACAGGAACTTGCAATTCAACTGCAATAATTATTCATGCAATTGGCCCTTTCCGTGGCATTACAGAAACCTCCTGAGTACCAGAATTTATACTTTTATAAAGACAACTCTTACATCATCGCATGACACAGCTACTGCTTCCTTAACCCTGTCAGGAAATGAGGCCCAGGTATTTTCCCCAAGCTCCATAGGATTTCTACATAAAAATAAAGGAACAGAGATGAAGCCTAGAATAACTTAAGAATTGTGACGATGAGCGGTACTAGATCCAAGTGATGGGACAAAAGCCATCATCACACGGACACACTTGATTTCACAGTGATGAACATACACACATAGCTCATCTGAGGCACAAGCTGTGACTTGTCATTGGAAAATAAAGGTAAAATCCAGTTCAAAATCCACATCTCATGATTTCTGGTCCTTATTCAGCACAAGTTGGGCTGCTTCCTCTTCCTATCTGTGTATTACACACATTTTTATCTTCCTCAAGGCTCACTGTGAGTGCAGCATAGGAAACCAGAGGTTTGGCTTGATGAAGGGTGTTCAAGGTACACGTGCCATGCTCACGGGAAGCTTTTCACCACAGGAGAGCTGAGATCTGCTGCCGTACAGAGCACTCTGGTCCTATGACCGCTACAGTTCGGTTTTCCACATTCTGGGAATAATCTGATCATAGCCTTTCCGTCTTGTCACATTATAGGACAGGAATTTAGAGTATTCAGTCAAGAGGTTCTCCCAGTAACAGGTGACATCATCCATCTGCAAGTGCTTTATAATAAACTGGCTTCCCCTAGAGAAAAGATTAACATGAATATTTTAAAGCATAGAATTTAATAGTAATAAATAATAGCTTACGTTTGAGTCCGCTGTGTTGAGAGTACTTAATATTGAATTGAATCACTTGACTCTCAGAATCAGCCCTATATCATCGTATCCATACACATGCATTCAGCAATAGAACTTAGTATTTCTTCCCTTAAAAACAAACACATTACCGGCCAATGATCATCAAAAGCACTTAATTACCTCAAGATTCCGGTCCATTTTTATACAGCTTGGGATATATGTGAATGTGTAGATATTTTTCCCCAGGCAGTTTTATTTCTGAATTATCCCTACCATGAGACTAAAGTATGAATATTATCATGGTAACAATATTCAGGTAACTTTAGCTAGGGCAAAATGGTAAACTGGGTATAGTGGTGCGCACCTGTAATCCCAGCACTTGGGAGGTTGAGGAAGGAGGACTGACACAAGTTTGAGGCCAGCCTGGGCTACATAGTGAGTTCAAGGCCAGCCTGAATTAGATAGTGAGACCCTGTTTCAAAAAACAAAAACAAAAAGCAGGGGTTGGGGTGAGAGTGACAAAGTAGAAAAAGGGAAAGTGAACAGAGCTTACCTTTCAGCAATTTCTTGAGCTATATCATCATTTGCTTTTACAAACTGCAATAGTTCCCTAAAATGAAAAAGAATTATTAGACCTTGAAATGTAGGCTAAACTCAGTAATACTAAGTCAGAAAGGCCACTGATTGATCTCCAGTTATGTGGATAGTACATTATTTCTTTCTTTTTTTTCTTTTTTTTTTTTTTTTCTTTTTTTGGGTACCAAGGATCAAACTCAGGACCCTGTGCTTGCCAGGCAGGCGCTTGTGCCACTGAGCTATATCCCCGGCCCTGGTACATTATTTCTTTAAGGTAACAATACTAGGGTTGATTGTAGGAAAAAAAAAAAAAACAACAACAAAAGCTTAGGCAGGGGTCGTGGTGGCACAGGCCTGCAATCCCAATACGCTGGAGGCCAAGACAGAAGGACTGCAAGTTTGAGCCCAACCTGGACAACTTAGCGAGACCCTGTCTCACAATTACAGATTTTGGACATATCTGAGAAAAAATATAAATGTTCAATGATATACTAAAACTCAAGAGTGAGAAAATATTTCTACCTGTCTCCAAATTCTTTTTTTGTTTGGTTTTTTTGAGACAGGGTCTCACGCTATAGTTCATGCTGGCCTTAACCTCGAACTCATGGCAATTCTCTTGCCTCAGCCTCACAAGTGCTGGGATTAAAGGTGTGCATACCATGCATGGACTGCATCTCCAAATTATTGTGCTGGCCCCAGAAGAGGGAACTGGGCTCATATATTTGGCCCTTCTCTGTATCTCTTCTGATGTCTTCCCATCATGAGAGGAAATGTAAGCTTTCCTTGGGTAAGTTTCATGTTATAGCTGAAATCCCACTTGATAATATAACAGGATAAAATATTCCTACCTTTAGTCTTTGAGAGATTAGAGCCCTTTTTACTTTCTACTGTCTACATGTACACTGGAACCAGCATTAAAGCCCTGTTTTGAATGAAATCCTACTTACAGCTTGTGTGGATAAGAATACATTACTAACCAATATGTACAAACCAAGTAAGTGGGAATAAAGCTTTCACTAGAAAATATCATCAAGAGTAAATGCCCTAAACGGCTGGACTTTGCAGCCAATTGCAGGGTCACTGGAAACTCACCTGAAGGACAGGTACTTACTGGACATTGGAGAGATCTGTTTTGACTGGGATGTAGTGAACCCATGGCTTCAGCTGTGGATAGAAGAATTCTAGCCACTGACTGCCAACATGGAAAACAAGTGAACCACACAGGAAGAGGTGTTTGAACCGGAAACTTGCAGCTACACCCCGAAAATTAAACAGATACCTGGAAAAAAAAGAGCAAAATACATTTGTATACTTTATGCCTGCTGCCACTAATATAATCTTTTTTTTTTTGTATTCCCTCCTCTTGCGATTCCTCTCCTTCCTTCTCATTTTCAGCTTGGTAGGACACATCTGTATGCCTCTGTGGGGGCACCATAAACTTCTTGCTTTCCTAGGCCTGGGGCTGCAGGTTGCTTTGGGAATGTCAGATATGAAACAAGAGGGACATTTTCTCCAGACAGAGATAGGTAAGTTTAGAAACTGGGTGATGGGTGGAAAGGGTACAAAGCTCAGAAGGAAATAATAGACTGGAGTAGATTTGGGACATGCTGGAGAAAAAACAGAAATGTTCAGTGATACACATTAAAAATCAAGAGTGAAAAAAAATTTCACAGGCTTATCTGTCTATGCCTAGTATCTGTAACTAGATACAGCCTCCCAAAGTCTTGTTTATTTGCTAATATATCCCATCTCTTTTCCTAGCCATTGCCTTCTTCTTCTAAAGTGAAGCGGGAAGAGACCTAACCTCATCAATCTTCAAAGAAATGCTCCTTGGAAAAAGACTATCTTAGCCAGCCACACTGGCATACACCTGTAATCCCAGGATTAATCAAGGCCAGCCTGGACCACACAGTCAGTTCAACACCACCCTCAACTATATAGTAAGACCCTGTCTCAGTCTACCTCTCACAAAAGAAAAAAAAAACTGTCTTAGAAAAGAGTATTTTCTCAGCATTTCTCACATGTGCACCTCCATCTCTAAAGAGCTGCTCTTACCCTACAGTTCTGTGTGTGTAATCATCATTCTTATCTCTCAATCCCCCCGTCACGTCCCTCTACTCCTGTGTTTATGTGCTTAGCAGATTCTTAGTCCCAGCATACACGTCTCATATATCATATATATGCTGAGGATCAGACCCAAGACCTTAAGCATATGACACACCTGCTGTACCACTGAGCTACATCCTCAGCCCCTCATTATATTAACCTGATAAATATTTAGCCTCATTTCAACTCTTGGATGGGTGGTAGATGGAAAAAGATAATCCCAGCAATTTCATTAATGGCAAGTTCTCTAGAATCAGGGAACCTGTTTCATTTCTCTCCATAGTCCCCACAGAACTTGGGTCTGCACACAGTAGGCCCTCAGTAAAAGCCAACTAAATGAATTAATGCTAGATCTTGGTATTAAAGTTCTCATTCAAAGTGAAGCTATTTCAGAAGCAATATGGAAACGAGGAGTCAGGAGCTCTAGAAGTCATACTTGTACTTGCAGTGATCCACAAGATGGACATCTTTAGCTGCTGGTTTTCCCAAGGTATCCTGTAAGTGAAAAAGTCATTGGTATTAGTAGTAGTCACATTTACGGGCAACTCGTGTGCAGCAGGCATTGTTAAAGTTTTCATCAACATAAACTCATTTAGGCCTCATAATAAACATATTCAGGGGGGCATTATTAGTCTCACTAAACAAATGAGAAGTCAAGGTTTTCAGAAGTTTACAGACTTGCTCAGGGTCATGTGACATTAGGATTTTAACGCAGGTCTGTCTGATCAGAATTTAAGCTCACCTGAAGCCATGCTGCTTCATGCTTTGAACTCAGAGGGCACAACCCGCGCCCACTTCACTGTGGGCGATTACACACACAGCACTGGCTGCTGGGCTTAGGAGGAGAGCACACAGACAAACTTTACTGGGCATGGAAGGCTGTTAAAAAGTACTGAAACCAGGCAGGCGCTTTGCCGCTGAGCTAAATGGGGCTGGGGATTTAGCTCAGCGGCAAAGTGCCTGCCTGGCAAGCGCAAAGTCGTGAGTTCGGTTTCCGGTACCAGAGAAAAACCAAAAAAAAAAAAAAAAAAAAAGTACTGAAACCGTTATCAGCATTTTAGGTGGCAGGATTACTTCCTGCAAGAATCCAGATTTTCAATTTTTCTTAGACAAAAAATACAAAGCAAGATCTGTAAACCACTCCCACTTCATAGCAACCAACTGCAGCTGTTAGTTTTCTCTCTGGCTCATTCCCTAAGTTCACCTGCCAGCTCCTGGGGGCACTAAATTGAAATCCCACGTACATCCCACCCTCTTTAGTGGAGAGGGAACTTGACAAGAGTGGTACGTCTTCATAGCTTTTACTGCCTCTAAGTAAATACTAATGACTTGTATGCTAATGCATTTTTTCGTACTTTTATTGAACAGTTTCTTATACTCATTTGCTCAAAACTGTATCAAATGATACATACCTATCAGATGCACTGAATTCTTCCCCAAGAAGTTGAAACCTTTTTTTACAGCATCCTCATATAATATATGGAAATTTCAGGTGAGGAAATTTAGGGCTCTCAGTTCATTAATTAAGGCAGGAAGTCATAGATTTAACACATTCACAACAAGGCAGTAATGTGTATGTCTTGCTGCCAGGTAGCTTGAGCCACTGGTGGTATAGGCATGGCTGTCCCATTGAGTGGCTTGGACCACTGGTGGCATAGACAGACTGGTCCTTTTACTAATAAAATTATAAAATTCTACCCAATGGGACAGTCATGCATGTACCACTGGTGGTTCAAGCTGGTGGGAATCTGATAAGAGGACAGAGACAAATCTAGACTAGAAGATTCAATTTCTGGCTTCATCTTAGAATCACTTGGGGTGTTTTAAAGAAGTGAAGATTCCTGGCCTTCCAGGAATGGATTCATTTGATTCACTGTTTAAGCTCTCTAGCAGTACTATTAGTCAGGGTTAAGAACCAGGGTTGGTTTAGACCAGGGTTTGACAAACTACAGCTCACAGGACAGACCTAACACACCATTTGGTTTTGTAGAACCCATTTTCAAAAAAATGCAAAAGAAAAATACCTTATGAATGATCTGTGAAAACACATGAAATTCAACTTTCAGGCACCAGAAAAAAAGTTTTATTAGGAAAGCGGTGTGCTTATTTGTTTACCTGTTGCCTTTGGCTGCTCTCACCTTGCCACAGCAGAGGAGAATAACTAAGATAGAGACCACAGATGAAATCCTTACTATCTGGCTTTTCCAGGAAAAGCTTCTGACCTCTGGTTTAAACCTCCAAAGTAGTATAATATATTAGTCATGATATGGCCAGAAAAGCAATGTGTGTCTGAAACAGAAGATCTGACATCTGTGCTAATACTAGTTGGTGGAACTTGCTCTACATTCATCTCACCACTGAGAGAAAACCCAATTTCAGATTCTACCCAACGTTCTCTGAGTGAGAATGTTCACTGTTGTAGTTCTATTCAGATGTTTGCTGATTACTTTCATAGATTTCCAGGCTTGGTTTTTGGTGTACTCTGCATCAACAAGTTTTGGATTTTTCCGAGATAGAAGAATGAGAGGATCCCGTTCTGGACTTGTCCTATAAAAGAAACACAGGACATATGGCTATGTGGCCTGTACTGTAAGACTGCTCACATAACTGAAAGGTGAGCAGCACCAGACAATCGCTTTCTGCACAGATGGATAACTCACGGGTTTCTGGACTATCCACGCTCCCCATTCCCAAAGGGTGCAGTAGGGACATCCTGGGTACTACAGCACTTAGGGGTGTGGGCTGTCTGCACTGTACCCTTCAGGGAGGAGAGTGCTAGCTTTTCTGAGCAAGTGTCTGGTCTCAGAGGGTGTGTTGTTCTGGTCTCTACAGCTGTATCCCATGGAAGGCTCATGTAGCCTTCCCTGTGAGGAAGGTTCATGCAGACTCCATCATCACTGGTGTCCATGCATGCTCTATGAAGTCTAGCATAATGTTTTAAGATAGAAAACAAAACAAAAATTTTAAAAAAGTCTTTAAAATCTGAAAAGAGTATATGGAAAAAGTAGCTATGGTATAAATAGCAGAGATTCTTGACATACAAGGGGTCACGGATCCCAAGAATCTGAAAAATGCACATCTCCCCACTTAATTTCCAGGAGGTCCTAAAACTCCTGCAGCCCAGCTATAAACCCCAAGTTAAGAATCTGTGATCTCAAGAGCTGGTAATCAGAAAAGTTAGGGAAGTAAGCGGTAGATAGAAGGCCCATATGCAACCTAGTCTCCTGCCCAAGCTGATCAACAGTCAACACAAAAACTGCAAAAGGGGCCTGGGGATATAGCTCAGCGGTGCAGCACCTGCTTGGCAAGCAAGCACAAGGTGCTGAGTTCAATTCCCAGTACCCACAAAAAACTGCAAAAGCCACTGGGCATGGTGGCACATACCTGTCATTCCAGCACTTGGAAGGCTGAGGCA